ACATGAAAAATAATATAGAAGAAATAATTAAAATAAAATCTAATAAAAACATAAATAAGTGATAAGTTCCTTATTGTTATGGTTGGTAAAATATATTTCTTCTTGGTATTAGATATGGTCTCAACAAACCCACGGCACTTCAACAATATTGCCTTTCATCTGAAAAAGATGTCTGTTCTTGCCATATAGTCCTCTGTATTAATTTTTGCTCGAAAGGCCTTACCATACGAATTTATTCTTCTGTATTTAGTTTAGTTTCTTAGTTTATTCTTCCATTTTGTTGTTCGAGCATTTCCGTTTCGTTTTCTTTGATTAAGCTTATTGTTATGTCCTGTTTAGGTTCTCTTGTTATTAATTTGCTTCCTGTTTCTATTGACGCTCTCCATCTTCACTCATCATGCCATTCCCCTGCTGCACAATCATACCTGCTGACAGAGTACTGATGTGTCGTTCATGAGTGATTTGATTCATCTGAATGGCTCTTTGATTAAATTCACTTTATTTATTTCCAACAGGTTTTCAAAATCAGGAAAATAAGCAATCAGTAGGACAGAGAAAACATGTGCAGACATAACCAAGAACTAAATTATTTGTTTACCTCCACTTTTCTGTTTGCTGAATGGTAAGACTCCAATCTCAATCAGTGAGAACTGGTCTTTGTTTTTTACCACTTTGTTTGCTCATAATGCTCTGCTCACACGTCAGCTGTTTTTTAAATTTAATTAAAACTTATTTAACCAGTAAATAAATACAATTGATAAAAATTAGTGGAACATTTTTAGACTTAATGGTGCAGATGAAGATTTTTGTTTCTGCCAAAGCAATTCAAGCTTAGTTTTCTTTTATTATGATTCTAAATTAAAAGTATCTCTAAACTTTTATTAATACACACAACACAATTTCTTTGATTGTGAGTTTGACATCATCGGGAAGCTTAGAATCCACACTTTCAGGCTCTGTTACAGGTAGACTGGGTAACTGTTTTGTTGTGGCCGGTCGCATTTACAAAACAACACCACTCGTCTCATTAGAATGAACAGAGAAAATAATAAGTCTGTTATTGTTATAGCAATAAAACACTAACATTTTCATTTCAGATTGTGTTATTGTGGGTCATTCCAAGTTTGGTGGTCCGTGAGTGTTTGTTAAATGTGTAAAGTGATACTGAGCCTGAAAGTTTGCTCTAATTCGTCTAAATCTGTAAAAACGCGACATAAAGGAAGCTACTTAAAATGTATTCTGCTGAAATGAAACTCACTGTAGATGACTTTTCCAACCAGAACGACACAAAGCATCCCCAAACACGCCAACAACAGAAAAGAGTGCTGGACTGTTGATGCTTCCACTTCTTCAGCTGAAAGAAAAAATTTAATCAATATCGGTATTGATAAATCAACAAAGTTTATTTGTACAGCACATTTCAACAACAAGGAAGTTAAAATGCTTCATGTCATGAAAAAATAAAGCCATCATAAACACATCATGCTGTCACCAATTGTGAAACCAGTAACAGATATTACATTTTGTCAAGTTCCATCATTAAAATCATCAATACACATCAAATATGTTGGTCAATGTTCCAGTGATTACTGGTGGGGGTTTAGACTTGTCTTACAGCAGTGGTTCCCAAAGTGCGGGGCGCACCCCCTGGGGGTGGCACAGTGCCATTGCAGAGGGGCCCTGATGAATGAGGGGAAGGGAAAAAAAAATCTCTCAGGGAGCTGTTCATGTTTTAACCCCATTTCCAGGACCGGCATTGCCTGCCCACAGAGTCAGCTGTGCCCCCCTTGGACTGGAAACCCGCTGTCACTTTCTTCAGCAGTTAAAAGTGTTTAATCCGTTGTTAACACGTTGTTACCTGTTTTTCCGAGCCGCCTTCAAAGGCAACATGAACACTGAGATGCTCGTGCTGGGTTTACACCTGTGCAGAGCTGCGCAGGTGTGTTAGAATCCAGTTAAACGTTTCATTGTAGAGACTATCCCTTTCAAGTAGGGAATCGCACAGTAAAGCAAACCTGACAAGACTTGAATAATGTACCACTAAAATCTAGCTATTATCCGTTTTATGTTTTCCTGTAAAGAACTTCTAATTGTTGCTGAAATGTGCTATACAACCAAACTTGGCTTGCAGAGAGATTTCTCAGATGATGCAAAAAAGGCTCAAGGTTTACATGTCACATAAAACAATTCTTGCTTCAGCCCATGTAATAAAGTATAACTTCCTACAGAGGGAATAAAAATGCATGAAATGCATCTGGATAGTATTGTTACTTTTTAATCCTCATAAAATATATAATATATACTTACTATTAATAGGATGTTTGGTATTGTTGACATTGACTGTAGAAGTGTCTTTGTCCCTGTTGTTCCCCATCCTTTTCAGAAAAAAATAAAGATTTAGATATTAGAAAATGTCCAACAGCTGCCTAAGCGATCTCAGCTGTAGCTCATGGAAAGCAGGTGGGTTCTTCTTCCTCTTTTTAAAAGTGGTCAGGGTGCGATGCAGCATCTCCATCGCTGCTCTGTGGTTCATTTCCTTACTCCAACAGCTTTGGGAAACAAGTCTGCTTCTGTAACAAACCTTTCATGCCAAGAAGCTAGCTCTCACTCTGTCTCATAAACAGTTCTGCATTGGGAGGTTTCTTGGCAAAAAACCTCTTCCCAAGAAGAGGTTGTGTATGGTCAGGATCCTCCATAATTTTATTGGTTTTAAAGAATCCTTCTTCTCATCACCATCATCATCTCCACAGGTTCCACAGTCGTCCCCAGAACAGAACATTAAAAAAGACCTCACAAAAAAGACCAAAGCTGACACAACTCATTCCAAATGGCGCCATCGAGTTGCCGCTGAATATTGCCGTCCTGCGTTTCATTCTTGCAACACTTGATTGTAGTTAGGGAGGAGTCCATCGCTTCCCTGTTTGGAGAATGGCGGCGGTTTGTTTTCTGTTCTTTACTTCCACAACTGACCACGGCCAACCAGTGAACAGTAGGATGTTTATTTCAAATCAAGTACCTACTCTATTCTTGAACAGGGACCTTAAAATCATGTCAGAAACTGGAAAAACAGTAGTTGAGAGTGAGACACTCGCAAAATAGGCCGGATGGAGTCGATCCCGTGAAAAAGGGGCATATCGGTAGGGGCATGACAGTTAACTGCCGTTAGCTTAAATGGCAGTTAACTGTCACTTCCGATGCACAGAAATATCTCAAAATAGAATCAATGTCAATAAAAAAAAAAAAAAAAACGTCCTGAACTTCGAAACACTTCTAAAAATTATACATATCTGTTAGTTGTGCACTTAACCCACCTGTGAAAACAGAAATCGAAATTTACTTGAGTAATGGCTTTGCTGCGATGCTTTCTTCTTCTTCTTCTTCTTCTTCTTCGGCGGTTATTGGCGGTTGGCAAACAGTGCATTTACGCCACCGACTGGTGAATGTGGAACTGAATGTGAGTCAAGGATTTTACAACCGTCAATTTAAGATAGCGAAATATCTCAGTCGGGCGTGAGACTGTCATCACTTTAGAACTGTAAAGTGATGACAGTTCTAGGGGCCCTGACCAACAGGGGGCCCTCCACAATTTAATTATTTATTTTTTGTTCATGGAAATAAAATAAAAAAAAGTTGGGGCTCTATCAATTACAAAATTAATCATATTGTATTTTCAAAGATTGTTTTTAGCAGTAAAAATGTAAAAAGGGGGACCGGAGGGTGTGCTCCAATTACAGGGGGGTCACACTCTTAAGCCTCCCTGGT